ACTTTTTGTCATCTGGGGTGAATGGCAGAGTGTGACCTCCGGCCCAGAGTGAATCATAAGAGAAAAAGAAAGGAGAGCGCTCAGGTCATCGAAGAAAGCCTTCTGGGGGAATGGAAGGCCCCGGAGCAAGAAGTTACGAGATGCCCACAGGCTGCGGACGGAGAAAGTGAAAAGCCAGAGAAAGGTGCATTGCTTGCATCTAGGGCCCTTCACCGGGCGGTCACAGAAGCCAGGGGAGTCTCAGAAAAACCCACAGATCAAGGCCTGTGAGAGGAGAGAATGGGAATGTCACCAGGCTTAGAAAACGTAGATGCCAGTTCCCTCCTCTCCTCCTGCTTGCCCAGGCCTGTGAGGTGGGGAATAGAAATAAAGTGAAAAGAGACAAAAAGCGGTACCTGGCCCTTTCTCCACTGTGGGCTTCCTGTTTGCGGCAGATCTAAGCAGGGGCAAGAAAAGGCCCTTAACTTTGAGTTCGATTTGAGTTCAAAGTCTTGATTATTAAATGGTCCTGGATGTTTTTGTTGTAGAATTGAAACTGTTTGCGGTTTATCTTAAGTCCCTTTTTTATCTGTGGTCCAGAGAAATCAAGGCCCTCCTGAAATAAACCACCCAGAGCAGAGAACCAGCCTCCCCGAATACTTAGAGTGGGAGACAGAAAGGAAAGTGCTTTAGGATGAAATCCTATGATGGGGGGCGGGGGGGGGCGCTTGTCCAAAGTAGTGGTCACATCAGGACAAAATGTGTGAGTGCTTCCCAGGGAGAATGAGGAGCAGGTTTCGGTCACCTGCTTGGTAACCCTGCATGAGTCCGGCTGTTTTTGAGATGTGATTGTGTGTATCCCCTGGAACCACAGCCAAACTGCCACTTTCGAGTCTCATGTTAACTGTAAGCCTTACTCTTTCCATTTGCCGATCACTTCATCACTTAAAATGTTTGGCAGCGTGTGCACACTGATTTTCCGTCTTAGAAAAATTGGATGAACATCCATGGTTACGCTTATGTGGTTTGGTTTGGTTTTTATGATTAAGCTACACATCCACAGAATTCCCAGTAAAGGAGTGTCTGGTTTTCACAGATTTTGATGAAATCCTGCTTTATGTTTTATGTTTAGTTTATAGAAGCGGACCTAAGGCAGAAACTGGAGCACGCCAAAGAAATTACCGAAGACGCAAAAGGGACCTTGAAAGATTTCAGGGCTCAGAGCACACAAGTGGAGAAATTTATTAACGACATAACAACCTGGCTGGCGAAACTAGAAGAGTCCCTGGTGAACTGCGCCCAAACTGAGACTTGTGAAGGACTGAAGAAAGTAAAGGTAGGTAACCAGCTCTCATTAACTAGTTATACTTCAGTGGGAATATTAGTTCTCCTGCTTTGTGGTGGCTAGACTCGAGCCTTAACCTCTGCTCTCAATCACCCGTATTAACACAAGACTCAGCAAAGTAAGTAATGGGGTAAAGAACAGAAAGGAAAATGAGTAATCTGAAAACAGAAAGCATGCATTGCTGTAGGGCCTGCTCACAGGCTGCTATTTATTATTATTATTATATTATTATTAAAGGGGGTGACATCTATAGAAGTGT